GGTAGCCCAGGCTGGCCTCGAACTCACAAAGATCCGCCTGCCTCTGCCTCCCGAGTGCTGGGATTAAAGGCGTGCGCCACCACCGCCCGGCTTAGGACAGTTTTAAATTGGGTCTACTGTCCTTTCTTCTTATTGTTTGTGGATGGTGCTGGGGCCTAGCGATGCTCTGGTTTCCACCCTGGAAGACCCCTTTCCCACGTCGTAGACGCACACGGGACCAGGGCCAGCCTCTTCTCTTTGCACGACCCCCTGCAGTCACACGGTGGTGACGGCAGAGATCCTGCACACACACTGTTTTCTTCCTGCTCTGTCTTCTGTGTTTTTACCCTGCAAGCAGCTCCTGTGAAGACGTTGAACAGCCGTCCCGGGCTCTGCCGAGGAGTGCAGGGCGCAGCGTGCAGCCTTAGGGACGGGGGGTTGCAGTGCTGGTGTGGATCCGCTGAGCTGAGTCAGCCACAGTGTCTGTCTGTCCCTCCCTGCCTCCCTTCATGTTTGTTCACGAGCTCCGGTGTCTTCCAGGGACTATGCCCTCTCGTACCTCTCCCTGCGAGCCTGCATCGGGCTGTGGACCGCCTTCCTGTGCGTCGTCCTTGTGGCCACGGACGCCAGCTCCCTCGTCTGCTATATCACTCGCTTCACGGAAGAAGCCTTTGCCTCCCTGATCTGCATCATCTTCATCTACGAAGCGATAGAAAAGCTGATTCACCTGGCGGAGACCTACCCCATCCACATGCACAGCCAGCTGGACCACCTTAGCCTCTACTAGTAAGTATGTCTCCTGCCTTTCTTCCTCTTCCTGTTTTTCACTTATAGAATTAGGAACTTCCTGTTTACCAAGGCATGGTAGTCAAGTAACTTACGGTTTCATGTTTGACAGTGTAGCACGTGTATTAAGTAATGCATCTCGATCATGTTCACCCCATCACTTTCCCTCACACTCCCCCGCCCTGCCACCTTCCACTGATGCTTTTCTTTTGTCCAACCAGTCTTCCTTCTCCTTTTACATCTTCATGTGTGCGTGTGCGTGTGCGTGTGTGTGTGTGTGTGTGTGTGTGTACACGCGCGCGCATGTGTGTGTATGTCTGTGTGCGCATGTGCGTGTTTGTGTGTGTGTCCCATTGAGTTTGACTGGGGCTGCGTACAGGAGCATGGGTGGTGGGAGTGTTTACAAGAACACAGCCCTTTGGCCAATGGTTAGACCACTGAAGAAATGGTCGCCCTTTTCTAGCCACCTCCCGTTTTGTTTGGCATAGTCTGTTGTTTGACGCTGTGTTCCCAGCGAGCTGACCTGCAGGTTCCAGGTCCTCTGGCTCCACTTTGACCTACATCCTAGGTGTGACGGATTGCAGCTGCACACGGCATTCCTGCGTGTCTAATTCTAGAGATTTAAACTCAGGTTCCGGCTCAGCTGCCTTCCGAGCCCTGAGACTGGCTTTTAAAAACAAAAAACTGAGTGTAGTTTTGAGGCTTCCTTCTGGTGAGAGCTGCATCTTAATCCTGTTATAAAAGGAAGGCCTGGCTTCCGGTTGTCCAGATGAAGCCGAAGTGGTGAGAGCAGCTGTCAGCTGCCCACGCTGATGCAAAGCCCGCTGAGGCTGGGGGCAACATGGTGGTCTCACCTGATGAATGAGGGAGGGAGGAGGAGGAGGGGGAGGAGGGGGCAGTGGGGCAGCTGTGCTGTGGGATGTTCTGTAGGTCCTGTGGGAGCCCATTCTCAGGTTCTTTGTGGCGTTACCCAGCAGGTCCGTATAGAGGATGATTAGGACCATGGGCCTGAGTGCAGGTGTTTGAGATGGTCTGCACTTGGCTGTGCTGGGGGATGGTCTGTATGTCAAGTTGCTTTGATTGGTTAATAAATAAAACCTGATCGGCCGTGGCTAGGCAGG